TGGCGTCAACACTGTTTACTGTTTACCATCATATTCTAATTATCGTCAAAGTTGCGTTGACTGCATCAGTCTTTGTCCCCATGTCGCCGTTCAATTTCATCTGGTAGACATCACCGTCTGCTGCTACCACAATGTGCTGCGTATCCGTATACGCAACACACTTTTCCAACTCAAATTGACCAAAGTTGGTCAGTCTCGTCCTCTTGAATCCCCCACTGTCCACCAATGGGGCGGCTTCCATCACCCATTCGGCACTCTGGCCATCTAGCATGGCGTCTTGGGCCGGGGAATACAGCCACTGTTCCACGATCTGCCGCCTGGAATCATTCCTGATGACAGCCTTTCCACTCTTCCCACTAAACATAACGACTTCTACGGCCACCAAGTCTCCGGGTTCCAAATGGATCGGCAGTTGGTGTACTGCGTCTGGCCACCATTGAAACCATGCAATGAACTTACTGCCGTTGCCTTGTCGAGGAAGGAAGTCCACGCCGATGCGGAGGAACGCTTTGTGCCTGTGGGGTGTTCCGAGATCAACCCACACCCAAACAGGACGAACATCGTCTGAGTGTTGTTGCTCATGAATGGGGAGGAAAAATGACGCTTTTGTAGCTGCAAACCGACTTGAGCCCTCAGGAGGGGAAGCGAAGACTGCACCTGACTAACTGTCGGTCGGGTGAGGCAACTTCGGCTGCAGCGTCAGTTGATAGCCTCCAGAGTTACTGTCGGCGGGCTTTCCGGCTATTATGAGTATGAAAACCGCCGCAAGCGATACAGCGAAGGCAAAACCAAGTACAAATGGGATCAACGAGGCCCTAACACGTTGTCTGGGCTTTTCAGGCTGTTCCTGTGACTGCTTATCTTCGCCAGATTCGTCATCCTCGGAGCTAGTTGCAATTGAAAAATCGATGGGACGGTACAATCGATTTGATCGAAGTGTATGCTGGAGTATTGTTTGCATCAGCTTCAATTCTAAGCTTGTTCTTCAACGAGCCGAGTAATGGTATAGGTTGGAAACCCACGAGAACTTCGATGTCGCTGATTCGCGCCCGAATACTAGTAGCGTTCATCTTCTGGTAAAGCTAACGACTTCAGCCACAAACCATGCAATCGATGTCAACATGCACAAATAGACACATTCGACGGCTAGCCAAGCTAAAGTGGCGCCGGCCCAGTCTGCAGAGGACCCCCCCGACTCTTGGTTCCGGTGGCCACCTGGGTCAGGTGCCATTCCGGTCCGGCAGCAACTGGACTCAGGGGTAATGCGGCACGCTAAGTCGACTGTGGCACCAAGAGGCGTCTGGAATAAGCACAACAATCGAAGTATTGATGAGAAGACCGGTGGTTCATGTTTACTTCCGTGTCTTCGGCACTTTTGTAAAATTGTACTGCGACATCTTCTGCTTCTCATGCATTGCTCGCACAACCTCACCTGTCTCGGAAATCTCCAGCGGCTTCTGGAAGGAAGTAAACGACAGGTTCCACATAAACTGAGCCTCCAGAGTACAGGCTTTTCCGTGCCAGGATTTCGGCGTTCAAAGTCATGATTGCCAGATTTCATAAACCTCGGCGGCTTGATCTGCTCATGTTTACGGATCCATTTCTAGGGTAACTTACCAAGTGTCAAGGAAAGAGGCAGAAGACTGAGGCTGAATTTGATGACAGTTACAAATAACGTGGAAAATTCAGCAGGTGTTTGGCCTGGTGAGCTACACCCGTATTCTTATTATTATATGGTCAACTAAACAGGGCCGGGTTTAGCTTACCTTTCTTCGCTCGGGATTCCCGTGTCTGTTCTGCCGGTTCTCGTGGCATCAAGACCTTGGTCCGGACTTCTCGTACCACCGATCGTCGCTGCCATGACTGAGGGCCGCTGTAACCAACGGCCACTGGTCTTGGTTGGGGGTGCCGGTGTGATTCTGTCTCTTTTGTGTTTAGCTGCAGCAACTGAATTACCGACTGCCTGATATCCGCGTTCACAATGTCGGATCGTTCGACCATTGCTCACGTTATGGCCGATATAGCACTTTGTACGCTGAACATATTTGCGCAGCCATTGTCACTGGGGCTGCGGGCATTGGTCGTGGAACACTTCATACCAGAGCAACAATCAATTGCCAACCTTTGGATCAGTCAGTTCAGTTCCATGGGATCAGTCCTCGTCAGATTCGTTGGCTACGTCTGGACCCCGTCGTTCCCTGGCCTGGCATGCTTCTCTGCTTCAACTTTAGCAATTATCCTGCTTGCGACGCTCCCAATGCGAAAGGCCACGGCTCTTCAGCAGACGATGGACCATGCACTTGTCTCAAATTCCTTCAGTCAGCATATTGTCCGACTACTTAAAACCATCAGAACCTTGCCTCATGTCACCCATCGTGTGTGCCGAATTCAGCTGGCGTCGTGGTTTGCATAGTTTTTTGTGTTACACTACACAAGCAGGTAAATATGATAGTTCTCAAACCGTACTTGCCACTCTGGAATAGGAGGCTGATGAAAAGATCTCTCTGCAAAGCTACGTATCAGACCTAAGTAAACTTAGTTTGCCCATGAGAATAATTGCTGACCTAAGTGTAGTTACGATATCCAAGTTTGATTCTTCAGGGCGCCAACTCGGCGCAGAGAGACTCATTTCTGGAACCGCATTGTTGTTTCACCTGGCGGATCTGGGGACCACCATGTTCGCGAGAAGACTGTGGAAAGGAAAGGCAAACGACCCCTGCTTCTTCAGAGGCGGCTTATGTAATCCCAAAGATCTAATAGCGACCTGGAAGTTATGTCTCGCCATCCTGGAAGCATGGCTGGTTGGGGTCTCTGTTCTCCCCGTTAGCGTCGAAGTTGCATCCTTTATTCTCGGTGCAGTTGGTGTTTTCTTTGCACTGACAAATTGGACTCCGTACATGCTGAATTCATGCGAGTTATCGGCATTTTCTTAGGAAAAGGAGGTGACAGGGGAGCAAACTTGTCAGCTTGATTCGATGCACAGTACTACATCCTTGCTGGCCATACACAACATGGCAATTTGTATTTCACAAATTGTAGCAGCTGGGGCGGCATGGGTTCTTATCAAGGCTACAGAGGCTTCGGGGCACACTTTCCATGTTTCCTGGGGTTTATCATGTTTGTGCCTCCAGCAATAATCGCTACCTTTCTATAGGTTTAGAAACATGCTGTTGGCTTCTTGAAGCGCAAGGTGCATATGAAGATTCATTAATTATCACCAAATGGCAAGCGTTACTCCTGGCTAAAGAACTCTGTCTCAATATTCAAGACTCGTGTTTCAATGGCAGGCTAAATAGCTACATTCCTAGTAATTTACATACGTCCCAAATCGTCATGTTCTTCTTGGACATTGGGCAAGGCCGAGAGGCTCAAGTGCCCAGAGGCTACTGGCCCAAGCTGGGGATGTACCAAAAGGTTCGCCGTCCTGGGTCGCTGGTGTCGCGCCAAGTCGCGAGTCTTGTCAAAGTTCCGGCATTGACGCTGATTCTCCCAGACCGCCCATGGCTCAAGCCATTCATCTGCCCATCTTTGAGGGATAAGTGTCAAGTCTGCCTGACACTGAGGAGAAAGCCGAATTGAGTCAAATTTTCAATGCAGTGGGCTGTTTGGTGTCAATCTTGGGAGACCTAAGACAAAGACATACGGCACTTACGAAGATGGAAGCCCTACGGAATATCCTCGTCATCCGCGAGATCCGGATACAAGTGGTTGTACATCATGGTTTTCTTGCGAAGGTGATTGAGGCAGTGAAGCTGGTGGAATACGTCTAGACCAAAACAGTAGCCGGATCCGTTGCTAAACTCAATGGACTCTTCGCCCATTGCTTCAACCTTCAATTTCGATATCTTGATCCAATCCACTTCAAAATAGATAACTGCATCAGTGCACAAACATCCTCAGCCGGATAGATTGACTTACACCACGAGTCCATGCTGATCGTCTGCCAGGCTGCATCGGTAATACTTTGATTCAGGCTAGTGAATGGCGACCGCTTTCCGAGCGGAAGCTCCGACTTCTCGTGCTCCATTTCTGTCGGTGCCCCTTAAGGCTCTGTCGAAGTGAAAAGAAGGTGAGTACTTGATCTCAAGGAATTTTAAGAGGAGGATGCGCTAACCATACAAGCCTTGTACTTCCGTGCATGATGTCTGTTGACGCAGGCCTACCAGATTTTGAGCCAGCCAAGCGGCATTCAAATACAAGAGAGCAACATGGACAGCAATGGTCGCTCTGTTGACCCTCCGAGAAGAGTGATCTCCAACTTCGCGCCTCTCAATTGAGCACTCTTCTGGGTCGGGCAGGAAGAAAGGGGCTGCCTCCAGTTCCCCATCCTGACTGGATTGTCTTGACATCTTTCCAAATCGGGAGAAAATGACTATTCTAGCGTTTTGGCGTTCCGTTGTTTTCTTCCGCGACTGCTTCTTTCCAGCCGCCTACAAGAAGCACAATGAATTCGTCCAACGCTGTGTGATCCTTCCGTGATGTATCAATACCCGGTCCGGTCGGGTCCGGAGTGACGGTGATCACCATCCATTCCAAAAGGGCCTGATGGTCCCCACGAGCACGACTGTGCCGCCCTCATAAACCATTTCGGTTCCGGTTCCGATTCCATCTTACCAGCCATTCCGGAAGTGAGTGTTTCCTGGTGGTTTCTGGTGCATGGAACAATGATCAAGGGGGATGCAATCCCGCATCTCTAAGGGCTAGCTCATCACCATCAGACAGCCAACCTGATCATTTCCTTACATCTCCATGTTTGTCTCAGCCAGGTCAAAGCAAACGTCAATACATCATCCTCATAACACCCAAACCCGATTAACACCTTATCTGCCACACTGAGAAGCAGCCTCTCAACAGCCCAAAACTCTCCAGAGACGATAGAACTCTCTTGGATAGACTCCCGTCAGCGTCTAAATCTTAGCCAGAGCCTCAGGACGTTTTAAAGATGGACCATAATTCGGGGCATCTTGAGCGCTGCATGTCTCATCACCTGGGCCGCGTCGATGGGTCTCGCATGGAATGCGACCCGCGAGCTCGCAAAAGTTCGCAAGCTTCTTGCATCGCAAACAGAGCCAGAGTACACCTTCCTCTCAGGCGGCCACGCCAACGTCCCGGATTACGGCCTCGTTTACAACCACACCTACTGTAACGGGTTGAAGGACCCAGAAGGGGCCAAGCAGCGCGGTTGCGTTTTCGACCCGACCGCAGGCGGCTGGATTCACCACCTCTGTCTCGACGCAGAGCTGCGGGACTGGTGGTTCAGCATGTCTGACTTTGTGTGGTATGAGGACTTCAACCGCACGAAGCCAATCTCGCAGGAACAGTTCTAGCCAGAGCCGCCGGAAATAATGGGTTTCTGTTTACGGTGGATGATTTTCACTTTCCCCAATGCGAGTACGTTGTTAGACAAGTCATCAAGCATGTTACGACGCCAAAGACGGAACAGAGAGGGACAGGTTTAGGTTTCCTCAACCTCGACCGGGACCATATGTTTCACTGCCTGGATAGAGTGGTGAATTTCAACTTCCCGGAAATTGGGAATGCTCAGACAGAGTCTGTACATATCTTCGGCTTCGGACTGGGATCTGAGTGTTACATGCCGTCACCCTAGCAGTATGTAGACTGTTGATTTTCCAAACGCAACATTCATGAGATCTGCAGAAATGACTGAACCAACTGCCTTGAAAGTCTTAGGTTCGATCATGGTATATTTGTGGATTTTCCAGTCACTGTGCCCTTTGACTGTGATGGCTCTGATGTAAGCTTGCAGATGTTTTAATCCGACATACATGTCTCGAATGGCTCATATTCTACATAAAACTCCTCTGTGGGAAATTTTCTACATTTGATTATCAGAGAACTCTTTTCTAGCTGATATTTTGTGTGCCTGTGCGTGTAGTGCTTCTGTCGCTTCTTTTACTCGCTCATTTCCAAAACCATCTTGAATAGATACGCGATGTGATTGTGCCCATGATCTTATCTTCTCGTAGCCGTTACACATGTGTAGAGAACTCTCCCCTAGAGTTCCGGGCTTATTCGTATCACGCGTCTGACCCTCAAATGCAGTGTCCCCGCAGCACATCAACGAGGATCGCAGATAATCGAAGCAGTGACCGACGTTCTGTAGTGTCTCCGTTTCAGGCTTGTGCTTGTGTGTACCATGACGAGGTGTGACGTTACTGCTCTCGAGCAGTTGTTGAATTCCTTCAGGAGATGGTTTAAGCAATGAAGCTGATGAAACACCGCTACGGAGAATACATCATGACCATCGAAGTGCATGGCGGGCGGTGATGGTTTTGGTGCTGTTTCCAATCACCCACAGTTACAAAGTCTCTTCCAACTACAGATCGTTAGCAGCAAGAATTTATTTGGTATTTGGGAGAGAAGGGCAGCTGGAACTTGCCTGGCATGATATTCGTCCATGAAGGGTGTATCGCGATCAGAGCCTTCGCCCATTCATCACTCGATGATGAAAATGGACCAATTCTGGGTTGACTTACGGCTTTGTCTGCGGGGATACTGGCACAATCGGTATAACTGCGGTCTTTTGCTCACATTCTGAAACAAGTCCATTTACTTCACTCAACGAGTGGAGAGCTGGAGTCGGCCACCAGAGTTGGAGCACCAATACTGACTGGATGACAAGTAATGAGACGAGATGGGGGACGGAAATTGCAGTCTTGATCCGGCTTTTCCAATTCCCCACTTCGGTGGGTAAAGCTGTTTTTCATTGTCTCAAAGGAGGGTGGTTATTGAGGATGAAGATGATTCCATGTATGTATCGGCCGAATCTATGTTGCAATCATCGCGTCTGTTCGTCTTGAATTGGTGTTTGTCCGCAATGTCTGCCACCGCCGTGTGCGTCTGGGTTGAGGTTGGTGACAGAATGTGAGGAGAATTAACGAATTACACTGAAAACATCTCATCTTCTATCGCCCCTTCGATCCACGTATCACCTATCAGCTTAACACAGACATCAGTCTTCTTCGAACACATCAAATCCCATCATGCAAATCATCAAGTCCCTCGCCGTTGCCTTCTCCATAGCCGGCCTGATTTCCGCTCTGCCCACCGGAGATGACACGTAGGACTCCCATACAATGTCTTATCAAGCAGTATGAACTCGCTAATGCATTCTATGGGCCCCAGGCTGCTACCAACTCCATAGTCAAGCGTCTTCCCCACGAAAAGCGCCACTATCTTATCGGTGTTTACGGTGCTGATGGCGAGGAACTAAGGTCCGGCGACTTGCCCTCGAGCGAGAGCAAGAGACCCAAAACTGTCGAGAGACGTCACTACCTGACTGGTGTCTACGATGCTGATAGCGAGGAACCTTAGTCTAGTGACTTGCCTACTGCCAATACCAAGGCTTGAAATGGATAGAATACGCAGGTATAGTTAGCTGGGTGCTACCATAGCAAATACTCACATTGATCCCAATCTGAGCAATTTTCAATATCTTTCAGGACTTTTGTATCTGCCGGAAAGTCGATGATCTGTGTATAGTGTCTGCGCGAGAGTGGTGAGAAAGGGAAAGCCTTTGTGATTTGTCGTCCAAGATAACCAACCTCTGCATCATGGCAATGTGATAGTGCTTCCAGTAGATACATGAAAGTGTTTGCACTGGTGAAGCCTACACAAATTTGAGTAAGCCATTGCGTTTGTCTGCCCTGTGTTGAGTGATCATTCCATGAGTGACTCATGGATGACTCAAGAGTAGGCCACCCGATACCCCACTCGTTTTTTATATAGGCGAGGGCGATGGGGAGGCTAATGATATCCATGCAGGTAGATTATGATCAATTTAAGTTATCTAAGCTCTATGTATTTAGATTGCGCTGTCCAACGTCTTTCATGAGGACCCTCCAATCTTTACATTCATATGCCATCTCAAAAGCTCAAGGTTCTCCAAAGTCGAGTTCCAGAGGCTCTAATGCGGAAACCGCAAAGTACAAGATGTCCTGGTGTCTAACATTAGCGTAAGGGTCGAACATCAACATGTACTTGAAAACTGAACTTACTTGGCGGACGAAGTCGAAGAAATGTACCAAGTGGTATCTCTAGGTTGCTGAGGATGTGTCTTTTTCGGAAGTTGTAAGAAAAACGGCGCGCTCTATCCATAGCCAACTTCGTAAACTCTCCACGGATGGCACCAAGACAGTGAATCATGTGGAACATATGGAACCCCCTATGCGTCGTACCACCACTAGAGTCTCTTCATTGATTATCCCACCAGTCTTGTAGGCTAAGGCCTTACCATAGTTCTTGGGTGTGGTGATCAAACGGTAGAAGCCCTGGGTGTGCTGAAAAGGCGTGTGTTACGGTGGGTAGGATGACAGGAGCGAATCGTATTCAAGCTTTCCATCTCCAGCAGAAAGCAAAAGCTGAGGTGAAGGCCAATATGATGAAGAACACGGGAAGACCCCATGAATTCAATCGTGACTTTGGCCGGCGTGAGAAGCCTTGATTCAGCGGCATATCAGACTCTGAGCAAAACCGAAAGATTTCGCTTAGTACATCCGTCAAGAGGCGAGGACGTAGAGGATATGTGTCAGGCTGGTAGGCCCAGAAGACGCTCTTCAGAATTGTTTTACAACATCCAGTTCAGACGACCGCTGCAGCATCAACACGCGACCCATGGTGTGTACCTTATCCATCAATTGATACCCAGATAATAGCAAGTGCCTAAGCATGGAACACATCTCAGGCATTTTGCAATCCTCGTAGCCTGTGACTGCCTTGCAGCTTCAGCTATGCTTTCACCCTCGTTCAGCCTGCCTCATCAGCCAGAAATGCCATCCGTGATCATGGGCAGCAAGACCTATGGCTTTTGAACCAAGGAGGCCCAGAATGCCTGGGACAACATGATCCCTAGCAATGGTGGCGTTGTGGCCGCTACTAACCTCACAACTGGCTTTCAGTATTGCGCGATGCCGGCCATGTTCCACCAGCTGAAGTGTCTGCAAGATATTCGCAAGCGTTTCGCTCCCATGGCGTCGACGTGGGATGAAGAATGTGGACAAGTTCATGGACATAATGGCGAGTATGAAAGACTAAGTGACTGCTTTGACCTCATCCGTCGGGTATGTTGTTGCTCTTTTCGATTCCATAATGAACCTACGTGCTGAAATCATTTGCAAGGGTCTTCTTTACCGTGCGGACACAACTTTGAACCCAGTGGCTACCATGACTAAAGATAGTGTTATTACCAACGGCAACATATTGTGCCATACCTGAAGAGACAACAAGATTCTCTACAAATGGACAGACATGTCCGGAAAAGCACACAAGGTAATGCTACCATCACCAGTGGCCATCTACATATTGATATGAAATCTGTCGAGACTAGAACGCTGTCAGGACCCCCTAATACACGAGAAATCGGAAATAGAACACAAATAAATTGGGACTCTGGTGTACCACAATTTTGATGTCATTCGTAGAACTATCCAAAACGCAACCACGTGAATCAAGGTTGCACGAAAGCTTCAACCCAAACAAGAACTAACAGGCATGAAACATTTGCTCGCACCATAAATGAATGTTAAGCTACAAAATTACAGGTCCTACACGCGTCTTATCCCATGCTAGGATCCTTTCAAAATCACGAAACGTATGCGGATTTGTCCATATAGGGCTAACCAGTTGCTTGTGTTCGTCAAAGTCGTATGCCGAGTCAAATCCGCATGATACTCAATAGCCTGCCGAAGGTAATTGACACAGTGATCTAGGAAAGAGTAAGCTACCTAGTGCATGGACTGTTGAAAATAACCAGAATTTCGTACCCATGTGTGTGAAATACCATGCTGTGGGCTTTTCTTTGAAGTAGTGATCGAAATACACGGCCTTTCGCAGCTGGTTGACGCAATACAAAGAATAGCCCACGTCAACGCTGTGGTACTATATCAGAATAGCCAGCAAAAGTCGGTCTCAGAAACTGAAGGCCTCACCTCACGCAGTACATACTATCTGAGCCTGGTTTCTCCATCATCTGTATGTACTGTCCGTCTTTAGTTGAAGTCTCGCCCCGCGTGAGAACCAACTCAACAGCTTTACCTTAGTCAGTACAAGTTTCAACCACCGTTAAACCCAGAGCGCTACTAACCGGCCTCTAGCTCATCCCAATTCGCGTCAATAATTGGCGAAGGGTCCCCAACATACATTTTCTGACACCACTGAGGTTGAGCAAAACCTCGTCTTACTCATCTCTCTCAATTCCAGAAGTGAACTGAACAGGCTTCAAGGCCATAGATTCCACCGATATTACCAGTAAGACATGTCAGACAACACCTCATACCAACCAAAAGCGACTGGGGTAATGGATTCTCACCCAAATCAGAGGCGAACCCCAACTCATAGGATGACACGTTTCGCAAGCAGTCACGCTGGCTTCTCTCTGCAGCCAAACGTACCACCAGCGTCACTGAGAGCAGTGCCACAACTCAAAGCCACAGCAATCTCTCAATGTGCGAGAGAACGCGGGCCTTTCCCTCGGTTGTCACAATGCTCTCGACAGCATCTTCAGAGCTCCGATAGCCGTCGGAATTGTCGACTTGCTAGTACACGTACTCAGGTTTACCTAGAGAATAACTCTGCGAGTTGCCCTTGAAGTTAAACAAACGATGAGATGAGACATTGTGCCTACCGACACGAAGGCGTGAGACTGGGTGTTCCAGAAAAATACACCATAATTGGCGATTTCCACAGTGGCGGAAGAAGATGCAATTCATAACGTAGGTTGCACGAACCTTGGTACTGCGACCTATCCACCGTACCCAGCCATCGAGGGTAGCCGAGGAGGGTTCCAGGGCACTACCGGTTCGACTGGAACATGGATGATTCCGGAAAGGGTCCGGAACGACCCCGGCAACAAGTCCGGTGCACCTGTCCGACCGACCCACCCAACTCCGAGTGGGGACCGACGTCGCAATTCCGGAATTCGCTACCTGTGCCCAGGTTTTCGTCCTTTGGTGTTAGGCTAATTCGGTGGCCCAGTTCTCTCGGAACTTATTCCTTTCATGTTTGACATTTTCGACCTTATTATTCATTACTTGCCCAGGTATCTCTTCAGTCGAATGCGGCATTCGCTGCCACGTCAGCGTCTAGAGGCCTCAATTGAACACACCTGTGCACCAAGACTACACATGGAGGGAACCAGTCTAATCAAAGACTTAGAAAGAGCAGAGGTTATAGATCCCAGAATGAGAGATTCAAAGTCTAGGAGGCACCAATGGAAGAGAGCCTTTCGGGAAAACACTCGGCTGTGCACAGAGGGAGCAATTCTGTCTTGTCTGGTCATGTTAATAATCATTCTTACATGGGAAATTTGGACGAGCCGGAGTTTAGGACTTAAGTCCTCTTATCGTGCCGGATCCGATCTTAGTGGTGATGTGCCCGCAGGTATGAAACTTGTTCACCCCAGAGAATCTTTCTTCCCTTCTAAGTTTTCTTCCAGGCGACAGAGAATCCCCAGCTTAAATCCTAACCCACTGTCAGACTTCAGTTTCACAGCTGTGATAAAACCCTGGGAGAAGCACTCCTAGCAGGTATCAGAAGAGGCTTTCATGGATATAGGAAAGCTTAATAACACAATCAGTATGTGGGAATCTTTGAATTTCCGTACATCCCATACGACAGACCCATTTCGTCATACGTTTGCTGATAACAGCCGGCTAGCGTTCATTCAAGCTTCGGGCCATCATGGAGGTGGTTCCGAGATAACTCTCCCGTTCGACCTCTGCGAAACCTCTGAAGTCCACTAAATATACTGCCTGGGGGTCATCCTAGAAGACTTTGTCAACCTCGCACAAAGTGTCCCGGTTGCGAAACTCCCCAGCAACAACATCCTAGAGAGACGTAAAAAGTGGAGCGAGCAAACAGCGCACTTCTTCAAGTACATATTAGATGATCTATTATGTTTCGCCGATTCGACGGCCAAGGGCGGCCGGAAGGGAGATCCGTGGGTCGTTCACATGGAGGCGAAGCATGTCTGCAATGACTTTGGAGCCCTGATAGAGTGGTCGAAAAAGCCCGCGCAGTAGATGGCAGCAGGATTGCAGCCTATTAGGAAATAATTCTCCAGGAGAATCATAAAAGTATATCAAACGGCTGCCAGGCAGACGAATTTATGTCGGCTGAGATAGCATCGCTGAATAATTCGCATTCCTCAAGCAGAACATTGAAGCCTTCGGTTGGGGAGGAGAGAGGGCAGCCTGAAACATACTAATGCAAGCCACCAATGTAGCGCATACCGTCCAACTGTTTACTATAAGTATCTCCTTAGTAACAGACTTCAACACGCTGTAGCCTGTAAGTTGAGATCTTGTACTACCTCACCCTACTCACCTTGCTCGCGCTCCTCATGCCACCTCAAGGCGGCGGGTGATTTGGCCGCACCTGAGCGACATAGTGGCATACAAGGCGCGATATTTACAGGCTGGACAATCGTTTCAATCAGACGGCCCCATAGACAGGCAAAAAAAAGGAAACGTTGAGGATAGCGAGGATCATCACGAAATGCAATGCTTGGTACTTACCAACCTCACTTTGGCCCGCACAGAACTTAATGCCAAAGTTGTCTTCAATCTTCTACATCTATACGAATTGTCGCCGCCCGCCGAATCCACCATCTATTGAAATTAAGCGGGGCTGGCCCAGCTTGCACTGTAACTAGGTTTGCAATTGCAATATGGACAGTCAACATCCCCAGCTATTAGTTTTATAGAAGAGGAGATTAGTGATAGAGGATGCTGTACTTAAACTCAAGACCTAACAGGCAGTTTATCTTCATCATTGCTATAACCCACGATTACTCTAGCCGTCATTGCTGCTGTTGCAGTCTTCCTCTTGCTCCTCATTCTATCGGCTTTAGAAAGTCTATTAGTTCCAAGACATAATATGAGAATGTAGTGATAACTATGATATGCTATAGAGAAGAACTAGCTAGACGCTAGGGCGCTGGAGAGAGCTGTATAGTAGCCTCTAGTACTTACTAGCAGGCTATAGGAGTAGTAGCTAAGTAGTAAGGCCTATTAATACCCCCCCTTAGGCCTTATAGTACTAGCTAACGTATAAACTAGCTATTTTAGCTAAAATTGCTCTTTAAGCTAAAAAGCTTAAAAATGAGGAGTTTTTAATTATTTAATAACTTAGTGAAATATTAGATAATC